CTTTTCCTTGGAGCTGTTGACGGTGGTGCAGAAGATGGAAAAATGCAAGGAATGGCGTCGTCGGAAAGGATGAACTTTTTTGGAATGTCAAGTAGGATTTTCCGTTCTAACTCCGCGAAGTATCGTCCTTTCACAATCATGTCGTTGGTGAAATGCTTGATGCAAACAAAATCTTTAGGGCCAAGCGGACGGTGCTTGCGAGGATTTGCTTGAGCCAACGCTTCCAGACGTGTGGGGTCGGATGGGACCTTGAACAAACTAACCTTTTCTTTGCAACTAGGGTGACCTGAGTTGCAGTTCTGGACGAAGCATCTCCGGCCCATTGTCACCACTTTGAAGCCGCGTCAAACCCGTGGTCAAACGCCGCACACGGCTTCTTCAATCTTCATTCCATGTAGCGTACGGCGACTGGAGTTCCAAATGTCTCTGTCGCAATTACGGTGTAGTCGCAAATCGAAACGAAGCAAAACCGTGCAAAGCGACTCTTAATCATGCAGGAGGCAGGCAGTAGTGCACAAGATGGCTTGTGCCGCCTCATGCTCCACACGCGCTGAGCTCCAGCGAGGTTGTCGCACGTGCAGAAACACCACGGTGACCACGATGTACCGGGGTGTCATGGCAACGAGATACTTTTTTTTGTTTTCACACAGTTTCGCCGTTTGGCTGCCGGCGGCACTGTCGGCCGCGGCTACGGTGGCCGCGGAATGCTGCAGCCTTTCGGATGCCCATCGAACGAACACTATCTGATTCCTCGCGCCGCGCGTTTAACCCCGCCGTGTCCTCACCCAAAGAGTATTATTATCTTACACCGTGCTCTCAGTTGATCGAGGCAATCGCACGATTCTGATAAAGTGAAAATGTACATCACTTGCGACAGAAATCATAGCTGAATGGGGACGTCATAAAAAAAAGTTCTTACCTCTTGATTTTGGTTCTCTTCGGGAAGGCCAGCCGACTGACATATCGCAACTGAAAAGTCTAGGCCTTCTCAACCAATAATGACCACAACAGAGCGGTAGAGCGCGAACAGCCATCACCGCCGGACGGACAGCATATTGGCGTTCAGAGTTCTGCGAATCCTCCGGAGAAGTCACTCCCCGCGAATATCCACCTAACCGCACTCCGCACCCCTCTAGCCCCTCGGGGCGACTGCCGGCCGCGGCCCGCCGCCGCCGCCGTGGGCAATGTTAGCCGTGGGCGACTCGGCACGAGCCTCACAAACCCGTGAATCCGCTGCGAGCATCGAATGCGACGTCCTCACGTGTCATTTACGTCACCCTACCGAAGAAGACGTGGAGCGCCGTCCGCGAATTTCTCGAGGCACGGAAGCACTGTGAAGGCTGTCACTAGCGGCGTTTTGGTTGCGTTTCGACTACGCTGAAGGAAATGCAACTGTAACGAACCAAAATGTCGTTTACGTTCTTTCCCGAGGAGTTTTAAGAGACACGAGCTCTCATTTCGCTGCTAGACCCAAAATACGTTACGCACTCATTCGCCTCGGAGGGAGAGTGCCTTTTCACGCCTTCGACGCGCGCGCCATCTGGATTCTTGAAAAGTTCCCATCGGAGATGAAATCCGAGGAGCGCTCCCTTTTAAGAGGAGAACCGCAATGCCATGACACATCCAGCCATTCAAATTGTGCAAAACCTGTATTCACCCAGGCCGTTGTATTCTCAGGGAGTGTCCTGTATCCCCCTTGTAAAGTATCTGGTTTTATCGCAAGTAGCGCCATTTTGAGAGCGAGAGGTAGAGGAGGGATAAGGGCTAGGGGCGCTTTCCCCCTTGCTGGTGCGTAAGAAAGAGTGAAAATCCCGGATGAGAGGCTTCGCCGGTGCTGGCTATATGTATTGCCCTAACTTTGTTCGCGCTTTCTTCTTTGTTTTAAACTCCCAAATTTAATTACCCCTACAAAAATATGAATGGACGTCCTATGTCCATACTTTTGCCGTTCTATTACCTCTTTGTCCATCCTATGGATTCCTGTAGACAGTTTTTAGACCGTCTATGTACCATTGGTTTGCCACAGAATGGACACAAAAACGCTATAGAGATCTTCGCGGAAGAAAAAGTTTTTCTTTCCTTCCTATTTCCGTTCTATGGTCCCGGTGAGTCTATGGTCATCCTATTGCCTCTCTATGGTGTGAGCTATATATTGGTGCATTAACAGAGTGATGCCGGGTAGATGTTTTCTTTGGGTGTAGCGAGTGTCCGAGTTAAACAGTTGTTAATTAAGTTCCGGGTATCAATATGTTACATTGATGTCTGGAGGCATATCCTACCTCAGGGTATACTCATTGTGGAGATGGAAGTGTTTAGTATGTGCCGGAATAATGTTTTTACTTTCTCAGTGGGAGGTAGGTATATGTGGGTCGCTGCGGCCCCCGTAGATATTCGCAACTTTCACAACCCATAGGGGGCGCACTGGTGCCTATCAAAATTGCGGTCATCTGGATGATCGTCGTTAAAAAGCGGTATACTAGGCTGGGTCTGCGCGCGACGCGTAAGTAATTGTAGTTTTGCTATATACGCGCAGTATCAGAGACTTACTTAATGTTTTTTTTCACGTCAGGAAAGTGTAGGCAAGCCATTTTATTATGAGGCCAATCATTTAGGAGCTAGGGAGTGCGATTCTCACACCGCGGTACCACCATCGCTTAAAATCGCTTCTCTATGGACCCCGTAGGGACTCCGTGCAGACCCTGTATGGCTTCTCGGCAGACTCCATAAGGAGCCCTTGTAGACCCTGTATGGCTTCCCTGTGAACCCCTTACGTACTCCCTATAGACCTTCTATGGCTTCTTTGCAGACCCCTAAGGACCCTATACACTCTTTAAAATGACTTTTACAGAGCACGTTTTTGCGTAAAAACAAATAGGGAAAAGGTATTTTTGTAGAATCTTTTATTGGAGATCAATACAAAATGACAAGAGCGTGATGTTTGCATACTTTTAGCTTACAGGGTTTTGCGGCACAATTAATATTTTTTTTTTTACAGCCATGCCTCACCGGCGACTTCAGGTAGCGCGTCCCAACTTGGGTGCGTCCTAACTTCGGTGGCAATTTGCGGCGTGTCCGCCTGGGAGACGGGGGTTGGCATCCCTGAAACCATTCTTCTACCGTATATGTTTCGGCGCCAAAGTGGCCGATTAAAGCCAAAGCAGAACAGTCACATGCTGTCGAATATCGATAGTCCCAAACCAACACACGCAGTTGTGCAGTTATCCAAGTGGCCGCTGCGGGTGGAATGGTGGCGTTGCGATCGCAATTAGTTTGGTTTTCGAGTACAGATCGGTGCCGCTTTTTCAGAGCAAGCTCTCTAGCAGTTTCCCAACTGACCTGTTCTAGAAACGTTGGTCGGTGCGGACCCCATAGCAGACCCCCTGCAGACTGAGTGGCTTCTCTGCAGACCCTACAGGGACTCCCTGTAGACCTTGTATGGCTTTTCTGCAGACCCCATGAGGACCCTGTGTAGACCTTGTATGGCTTCCCTGTGGACACCCTAGGGACTCCTTGTAGACTTCGTATGGGTTTTCTGCAGGCACCCTATAGACACCGTAAAGACCCTGTGTAGACACCCTATAGAGTCCCTATGGACTCTATATGGCGCCTTGCCATAGAGAGGGTATAGTATGACAACACATCATCCATAGAATAGGACGTCCATAGAACGTCCTTTGGCCAATATTCTATAGGGCAGCCATAGGACGACTTCACGGAGGCAACAGAGGTCGTGGTCTGCCTATAGATGCCTTTTGTTCTCCCTATGGACGCTGGTCTATAGAACGTCCTAGAAGTGTCTATACATATTTTTGTAAGGGTAGAGCCACGGGCTTGGATGGCGACAGTCCCCCCGTCATCGGGACACCATTGCTCGGTTATAGGGAGCAGGAATAACGACAGAAAGCGTCGAATACTGTACGAGGACCTATCTAGCTTGCACGGAATCCGGCAAGTGCGGCTGCAATGTCTTTAAGCTCCATCGCTTTCCAAATGACCCCGGTCTTGGCGGCAGTGGGTGGCGTCCGTGAAGCGAAAAGACTTTCCCCAACACCATCCTCTCGACAGTGCTCGGAACATTTTGTGAATGGAGAACGCATCGAACGCTGTGCTGCCGATGAACATGGGGTACGCTAGCAAGGTACGTGCAAGTCTTCTCCCAATAATTGCTATTTCAGCTTGTAATTTTTTGTAACTAAATTGATCCTAATATTGACATTTTGAAATCTTGACACTGTTTCAACTGTTTGAAATGGTGACACCATTTCAAACAGTTGGATGTAAGAGGAGGCGCATAAAGTGGGACTCTTCTGGAGGTCCGCCCAGTCGTGTCTGAAAGTAAGCCAGCCAGTCCGTGAGCTTGGGCCTCTATAGACCACTCCATTTAGCGCTCTCTGGGCGGCACCATTTTGTTCGACAGCAGCGCCCTCTCCATTCATCCGGGAAATTCAGCGGGTTCGACGCGGTAAAACGAGAGAGAGGGCACGCGCCTGACTCCGCTATATTCCGTTTCACCTTACGTTGGACCGCGGCGGAAGGCTGGGGGCTGTGACGCGACCCAGACAAGTTGTTCCTACGCATCGCGAAGTAGCGCCTCAAAAACCTTGGGCCCCTTGGGCAGTACGAAGCGGGGATATACTTTAGCCTTAGTTTAACATTTTTGTGTCGTGTACCATCGACACAAAAACAACTTTTGGATTCAAGAAGAGCTTTCAAACGTGATATTTAACACATAATTAGGTAGCATGTTCGGAGAAATAAATTGTTTGGTTGGCAAGGCTGCCGTTGCCTTCGTTTCTTCATGCGTTTGGTTCAAGCTTGCTTTTCGTTTCGTGACTTGTTTTAAGAAATTATTCTTCCAAAGACAAGATTTTTTTATTTAAAAGTTATTGTAAACTCTGTAAAACTCTGTTAACTGTTTATTGGAAGAAATCATTTTAACTTTACAGATACTTTTTGCCCTTGCTTAAGATGTTACCTGGCAAATTGCTGTTGTTTGCGTAATGGCTGCCATGGCTGCGGTGTCGTCAAGCGTGTCTCCGTCAAAGGCGCCGGTACTTCCATCGCCAGCTCGCTTCCAGACGACATTTGCTAAAACCTCGTTTGGAAAAGGGGCGCGCCAAGTTGTGCTGAACATTTACTACAAGCTCCGTTGTGAGTCTCCGAACGAGTCTTACAAAGCGATCGTCCGAAGAACGTCTGAGCTGACAAGAGTGGGCTACTCCACGATCTTCAGGTGGAAATAACTCGTGCAGTCGAGTCCTGATGGCACGCCGTCGGTATCTTCGCCCAAGCGAAAGAAAGAGGTCTGCTCCGCCTACACCCTGTCTGCTGGATTCTTTCGACCTTGGAACGTTGCGGCTCATCGTGCACGATTTTTTTCGCCGCAGCGAGTGTCCAACGTTGTCAAAGGTAAGGGCGCTTTTTAAAAACATACTTCACTAAGGCGAAAGAAACGCGTTGACACCTTCAACTACCTATGGTTTATTAGCCACAGTCACTAATATATGCTAAATTACTTAAATCACATGAGCGCCACTCGTCATAATTGCATGGGCCTGAGTTTTTCCAATGACATGAAGCAGACATAATTTTAAAGCTGCACGTATTTGACGACCCATTTGAACTTCTCAGTTGATAGAGATAAGCTGTTAGCGTTGTCGTTAAAACAACCACTTTTTATTTTCAACTGGAGCACTCCACAGCGCTACATAGCGAAACTGAACAAACGTAGCTAAATTATGCACATGTGTACATTGGTATCGTAGCAGTTTTCATTTTTTCGCAAAAGCCGTGCAGAAAAATAATTGACATTACAATAAATTGCTACAAGTATAATCTAGTCAAAGTGATCGTATACAGCAATATTTCAAAACAAGTTAAAAAAACAATATTTTAAACTTATATTTACAGGTCTTAGAGGTTGCTCGGGACAATGACAAGTTCCCCAAGATCAGCCGCACAACGCTGTGGAGAGCTCTGGTGGATCTGGGATTCACTTTCGTCAAGCGCAACAGGGACTCGTTGTTGACGGAGCGCACAGACCTGGTGCTCTGGTGTGCCACCTACCTCCGGGCAATCAGGAAGCATCGCCTGCATGACAAGACCATCTACTACCTAGATGAGACCTGGGTCAACGCTGGCCACACAAGGTCTAAGGTGTGGAAGGACACTACCGTAAAGACACCAAGGGATGTATTCCACAAGGGCCTCACAGTTGGGCTGAAGAATCCTTCCGGCAAGGGAGAAAGACTTATTGTGGTCCATGCAGGAAGCAGTAAAGGCTTTGTTGACGGTGCTGCAGAAGTTTTGGGCAAAAAAGGGCAGCGGCGACTACCATGAGGAGATAGACGGCGCACGTTTCGAGGAGTGGTTTACCGAGAAATTGTTGCCAAACTTGAGACCGAATAGTGTAATTGACATGGAGAATGCGCCTTACCATGCGGTCAGGCTGCACACTCTTCCAAGCTCTCGCACAAGAAAACAAGCAATCCAGAAATGGCTCACCTACAATGACGTCGTCTGGGATCCAACATTTCTGAAGGCAGAACTTCTGGACCTTGTGGAGAGGGCTAGGTTGACAATGCCAGGTCTTCAGAAATACCGCAATGATGACATCGCTGAGCAGCATGGGCACACTGTACTGCGTTTGCCACCTTACCACTGCGAGCTCAACCCCATCGGGTTGTCTGGAGCCAGGTGAAAGGCTCCATTGCAGGTGCAAACAAGACGTTCAAGCTGGCAGAAGTTGAGCTACTGACTCCAGGTGCTCTACAACAGGTGACGCCTGACGACTGGAAGGCATATCCGAGACACGTCATTGATGTGGAAAACAAGATGTGGGAAGCCGACTGCTTTTCAGATACGGTTATCGACAGTGTCGTCATTCACCTAGGCAGCGATGACAACAAATCAAGCGATGAGGATATGGCCGACTCAAGCGATGAGGACATGGGCTGCGAATATCTTTCGTGGTAAAAGACCCCGATTCCTACAATGCCATGGACGACCGTCGAAAATCCGTTCCCCAAGAGACCCTTCCAGGCTCATCTGCGTCTGCTACACCGCCCCAGGCTCATCTGCGTCTGCTACGTCACCCTGCGACTCCTGTCAGATGGTAAGAGAGCTTGAACTTGCAACATTTAACTTAATTTTTTATACTCTTAGGGCCCGAAGGCATTACAGAGAGTGGAATTATACGTCAATATAAATTGAACAATGAAAAGAAAACGCAAAAAACCAACAACACAAGTTATAGAATTGCTACGGAACATTATTCAGAATTTCAGTGATGTCGGTTTTAAAATCCGCACCGTCATTAAGTGAGACTACGGATGCGGGAAGGTGATTCCAGTCGACGGAGGCCAGGGGTAGGAAGGATGCATAAAAGGTGGAGGTGATGCAGTAGGGGATTCCTACTTTTAGTAGATGATCGGTACGCGGCGATATGTATGATGGTTCTGAAAATAAGTGCTGGGTTAGAGTGATAAATCTTGTGAAATAAGCTGAAGCGAGCTATTTTTCTACAAAAGGAGAGGTTCGGCAAATATAGAGACGCTTTCATGGAGGTGACGCTGGCTGTACGGTGATAGTTAGAAAGTATGAAAAGTGCGGAGTGATTTAGAATGGATTCAATGAATGATACCAGGGTGACGCCAAGTCCTGACCGAGTCTCGGTTTAGTGAGGTTGAGATTGTTGAGCTCAGTGTGCGCTAACATTAGATCAATGTGCTTGTTTTGCAGCAGCGTGGGGGGTGCCCTCGTCGGTGCTTTTCCTCACGGGTCCGTCCTCGTCTGTTCTGCGTCTGCTACACCACCATTCGACCACTGTCAGATGGTGCGAGCGCTTGAACTTGCTTAGTAGTTCCTGACCGAGTCCCGGTTTAGTGAGGTTGAGATTGTTGCTCAGTGTGTGCTAACATTAGCTCAATGTGCTTGTTTTGCAGCAGTGTGGGGGGTACCCTCGTCGGTGGTTTTCCTCACGAGTCCGTCCTGGTATGATCTGTGTCTGCTACACCAACCGTCGACACTGTCAGATGGTGCGAGAGCTTGAACTTGCTTAGTAGTTCCTGACCGAGTCTCGGTTTAGTGAGGTTGAGATTGTTGCTCAGTGTGTGCTAACATTAGCTCAATGTGCTTGTTTTGCAGCAGTGTGGGGGGTGCCCTCGTCGGTGGTTTTTCTCACGAGTCCGTCCTGGTATGATCTGTGTCTGCTACACCAACCGTCGACACTGTCAGATGGTGCGAGAGCTTGAACTTGCTTAGTAGTTCCTGACCGAGTCTCGGTTTAGTGAGGTTGAGGTTGGTGCTCAGTGTGTGCTAACATTAGCTCAATGTGCTTGTTTTGCAGCAGTGTGGGGGGTACCCTCGTCGGTGGTTTTCCTCACGAGTCTGTCTAGGTATGATCTGTGTCTGCTACACCAACCGTCGACACTGTCAGATGGTGCGAGAGCTTGAACTTGCTTAGTAGTTCCTGACCGAGTCTCGGTTTAGTGAGGTTGAGGTTGGTGCTCAGTGTGTGCTAACAATAGCTCAATGTGCTTGTTTTGCAGCAGTGTGGGGGGTGCCCTCGTCGGTGGTTTTCCTCACGAGTCCGTCCTGGTATGATCTGTGTCTGCTACACCAACCGTCGACACTGTCAGATGGTGCGAGAGCTTGAACTTGCTTAGTAGTTCCTGACCGAGTCTCGGTTTAGTGAGGTTGAGGTTGGTGCTCAGTGTGTGCTAACATTAGCTCAATGTGCTTGTTTTGCAGCAGTGTGGGGGGTACCCTCGTCGGTGGTTTTCCTCACGAGTCCGTCCTGGTATGATCTGTGTCTGCTACACCAACCGTCGGCACTGTCAGATGGTGCCAGAGCTTGAACTTGCTTAGTAGTTCCTGACCGAGTCTCGGTTTAGTGAGGTTGAGGTTGGTGCTCAGTGTGTGCTAACATTAGCTCAATGTGCTTGTTTTGCAGCAGTGTGGGGGGTACCCTCGTCGGTGGTTTTCCTCACGAGTCCGTCTAGGTATGATCTGTGTCTGCTACACCAACCGTCGACACTGTCAGATGGTGCGAGAGCTTGAACTTGCTTAGTAGTTCCTGACCGAGTCTCGGTTTAGTGAGGTTGAGATTGTTGCTCAGTGTGTGCTAACATTAGCTCAATGTGCTTGTTTTGCAGCAGTGTGGGGGGTACCCTCGTCGGTGGTTTTCCTCACGAGTCCGTCCTGGTATGATCTGTGTCTGCTACACCAACCGTCGACACTGTCAGATGGTGCGAGAGCTTGAACTTGCTTAGTAGTTCCTGACCGAGTCTCGGTTTAGTGAGGTTGAGGTTGGTGCTCAGTGTGTGCTAACATTAGCTCAATGTGCTTGTTTTGCAGCAGTGTGGGGGGTGCCCTCGTCGGTGGTTTTCTTCACGAGTCCGTCCTGGTATGATCTGTGTCTGCTACACCAACCGTCGACACTGTCAGATGGTGCGAGAGCTTGAACTTGCTTAGTAGTTCCTGACCGAGTCTCGGTTTAGTGAGGTTGAGATTGTCGCTCAGTGTGTGCTAACATTAGCTCAATGTGCTTGTTTTGCAGCAGTGTGGGGGGTACCCTCGTCGGTGGTTTTCCTCACGAGTCCGTCCTGGTATGATCTGTGTCTGCTACACCAACCGTCGACACTGTCAGATGGTGCGAGAGCTTGAACTTGCATAGTAGTTCCTGACCGAGTCTCGGTTTAGTGAGGTTGAGGTTGGTGCTCAGTGTGTGCTAACATTAGCTCAATGTGCTTGTTTTGCAGCAGTGTGGGGGGTGCCCTCGTCGGTGGTTTTTCTCACGAGTCCGTCCTGGTATGATCTGTGTCTGCTACACCAACCGTCGACACTGTCAGATGGTGCGAGAGCTTGAACTTGCTTAGTAGTTCCTGACCGAGTCTCGGTTTAGTGAGGTTGAGGTTGGTGCTCAGTGTGTGCTAACATTAGCTCAATGTGCTTGTTTTGCTTTGCAGCAGTGGGGGGGGGTACCCTCGTCGGTGGTTTTCCTCACGAGTCCGTCCTGGTATGATCTGTCTCTGCTACACCAACCGTCGACACTGTCAGATGGTGCGAGAGCTTGAACTTGCTTAGTAGTTCCTGACCGAGTCTCGGTTTAGTGAGGTTGAGGTTGGTGCTCAGTGTGTGCTAACATTAGCTCAATGTGCTTGTTTTGCAGCAGTGTGGGGGGTACCCTCGTCGGTGGTTTTCCTCACGAGTCCGTCCTGGTATGATCTGTGTCTGCTACACCAACCGTCGACACTGTCAGATGGTGCGAGAGCTTGAACTTGCTTAGTAGTTCCTGACCGAGTCTCGGTTTAGTGAGGTTGAGGTTGGTGCTCAGTGTGTGCTAACATTAGCTCAATGTGCTTGTTTTGCAGCAGTGTGGGGGGTACCCTCGTCGGTGGTTTTCCTCACGAGTCCGTGCTGGTATGATCTGTGTCTGCTACACCACCATTCGACCACTGTCAGATGGTGCGAGAGCTTGAACTTGCTTAGTAGTTCCTGACCGAGTCTCGGTTTAGTGAGGTTGAGGTTGGTGCTCAGTGTGTGCTAACATTAGCTCAATGTGCTTGTTTTGCAGCAGTGTGGGGGGTGCCCTCGTCGGTGGTTTTCCTCACGAGTCCGTCCTGGTATGATCTGTGTCTGCTACACCAACCGTCGACACTGTCAGATGGTGCGAGAGCTTGAACTTGCTTAGTAGTTCCTGACCGAGTCTCGGTTTAGTGAGGTTGAGGTTGGTGCTCAGTGTGTGCTAACATTAGCTCAATGTGCTTGTTTTGCAGCAGTGTGGGGGGTGACCTCGTCGGTGGTTTTTCTCACGAGTCCGTCCTGGTATGATCTGTGTCTGCTACACCAACCGTCGACACTGTCAGATGGTGCGAGAGCTTGAACTTGCTTAGTAGTTCCTGACCGAGTCTCGGTTTAGTGAGGTTGAGGTTGGTGCTCAGTGTGTGCTAACATTAGCTCAATGTGCTTGTTTTGCTTTGCAGCAGTGTGGGGGGTACCCTCGTCGGTGGTTTTCCTCACGAGTCCGTCCTGGTATGATCTGCGTCTGCTACACCAACCGTCGACACTGTCAGATCGTGCGAGAGCTTGAACTTGCTTAGTAGTTCCTGACCGAGTCTCGGTTTGGTGAGGTTGAGGTTGGTGCTCAGTGTGTGCTAACATTAGCTCAATGTGCTTGTTTTGCAGCAGTGTGGGGGGTACCCTCGTCGGTGGTTTTCCTCACGAGTCCGTCTAGGTATGATCTGTGTCTGCTACACCAACCGTCGACACTGTCAGATGGTGCGAGAGCTTGAACTTGCTTAGTAGTTCCTGACCGAGTCTCGGTTTAGTGAGGTTGAGATTGTTGCTCAGTGTATGCTAACATTAGCTCAATCTGCTTGTTTTGCAGCAGTGTGGGGGGTACCCTCGTCGGTGGTTTTCCTCACGAGTCCGTCCTGGTATGATCTGTGTCTGCTACACCAACCGTCGACACTGTCAGATGGTGCGAGAGCTTGAACTTGCTTAGTAGTTCCTGACCGAGTCTCGGTTTGGTGAGGTTGAGGTTGGTGCTCAGTGTGTGCTAACATTAGCTCAATGTGCTTGTTTTCCAGCAGTGTGGGGGGTGCCCTCGTCGGTGGTTTTCCTCACGAGTCCGTCCTGGTATGATCTGTGCCTGCTACACCAACCGTCGACACTGTCAGATGGTGCGAGAGCTTGAACTTGCTTAGTAGTTCCTGACCGAGTCTCGGTTTAGTGAGGTTGAGATTGCTGCACAGTGTGTGCTAACATTAGCTCAATGTGCTTGTTTTGCAGCAGTGTGGGGGGTACCCTCGTCGGTGGTTTTCCTCACGAGTCCGTCCTGGCATGATCTGTGTCTGCTACACCAACCGTCGACACTGTCAGATGGTGCGAGAGCTTGAACTTGCTTAGTAGTTCCTGACCGAGTCTCGGTTTAGTGAGGTTGAGGTTGGTGCTCAGTGTGTGCTAACATTAGC